ATCCACTCACCTCAGCCTCCCAAAGGCGCGGGATGACAGGCTGAGCCACCGAGCCCGGCTTGATTTTTTTTTTTTTAAGCTAGCTTTCTGGATGAGTTTTCTGATCTGCTCATGAATGTGATGTTTGCCTAAGAAGTTGGACCCTGATAAGCTCTTAAGGCCGATATCATGTCCCCCACTCTTGAGTGTGGTACCCTGCGCCTACATGTTCACTGAATGAAGGACTGAACTCAAACTGGGACTGCCACACTGGGAGCACCTGCAGACAGCTTGGCAGGGTCGAGAAGTGAGTCGGAAGTGAGCAGGACACGGGCATGGCTAGCCTAACTTCCCTAAAAGAAAATAATCTAAGGCGCAAGTATTCATAAAGTTGGAAACATCTACAGGCGAAAGCATGCCTCCGTTTCACGCGGGTTTTCCAGGTAAAAGTTCCAGCGAGAAGAAAGTACGAGATCAGAGTAGGGCCACGAAAGGGAGAAGACGGAAGATGGGGCCCCTTGGTTTAGTTACCACAACATGCAGCGGTGAGGCCAAGGCCGTGCGTGAGACACACTTTTCAGGAAACGGCCCTCTGCCCTTCCCTCCTCACCTCACCATCACCTGCAGGAAGAGCCCACCTGATCCAGCTCATCTTGTCAGGGCTGGCTCCGGGTCAGGACAGAGCCCCGACAGGAGTGGCTGCAGCTTCGCATTGGTCACGGGATAGAAGGGTCCAGGTCTCCAGTTAGATTGTTTTTGGTTTTGTTTTTTTATGCCTTTCGACTTTTATAGAGCAAAACGCACAGATGTGTGAATAAGACATATATTCTGTAGTTACATGAGTGATGGAGCATGAACGTGCACGTAGCCATCACTGAGGTGAAGACACAGAATGTGGCCAGAGCCGTAGATGCTTCTGCCTGTTCCTTTCTGGTCACACCTCCCCCTCTGCCTGGAGGCGATTGTTTTCCTGACTTTTGACATCGTTGTTTGCTTGCTTTTCTTTGTAGTTTTCCCAGCTTTGAATTGACTGCTGAACTATAGTTTTGTGTCGCCTTTCGTTTAACTTCCTGTAGATGCATCACAGAAAACGGACTTCTGCGACTGCTTTCTGCTCCGTGTTGTTCGTGCGATGTATGACCTCAGCCTCATTCTCATTGCC